GTCCAAATCAATGCCACTGGGGGTAGACATATTCAAGTCTATCTAATTATATTTTTAATGTTAATCGTTGCTCTATCAGCTCTACTAGTCAAGTGGTCGATTGTACAACCGATTCATAACGAAATCGTGGATAAGTTCCATAGAAATGTATCTCTCTTCTACACGTCTCATGCTCTATGTCATATATTGAATTATAACAAATTCAATATGATCATCTTACCAATATCGTGTTTCTTCATTGTTCTCTTTACTTTTGAACATCGACGAGTGTCCTGTATGCTCAATCGATGTCACGGACATTTTGCTCCACCGATTCCACTAGACTTTTTTGCATGTTTCAACCGAAAAGTCTCCGCCGTTACATTTGCCATTTGTGCCAATGAATTGTTGGAGATAATTAACGAAATATTCAATGGTTCTCCATCTCCAACACATGGTGTCATTCTAGTTTATCTTCAACGTATTGTGCAAGTGTTAGCAATGGGTTTTCGCTATTATCCCATTTTAGTTGCTGTCTATATGAACTCATTTTTCTCTTTAACTTTGGGAACCTTGTATATTTGGTTGGAATTTCCGATCACGATCATTCAACAAGGACTATGTCAATCGAAATATTACTCGACAGCAGAGAATAACAAACGAAGTAATACAGAACTTTTACTAACTTATTATGGCACCGGTTCATTCCTAGTGATTATTGAGTTATGTACTGATATTCCCGGATATTTATGTTTGGCCTATGTATCGGTCAAAATGCCAATCCTATTATTCAATAAGATTCGTCAACGGCGTACACAAGTACCGAACCAAAAGATATTAACTCGTGAGGAACAGGCACTCATAGATATGACGCAACCCAATTCAGTAGAAATGCTCTATGTACGAAATTTGGGTCGCACTGCAGAACAACGATCGAATACTGATGGCTTACTTGCTCGATTTCTACCTAAGACCGTATATGAATGGCGTAATGACTTTCGATTTTCTTCTCGGATTCTCTGTGTTTATTCGTCTACTTTTCTTTTACTGTATTTTACACTAATTCAAACATGTGTGCAAATTCTTCCGTATATGAATTTATTACAACAGGCATTGCAAGAAATGATCGATTCATGGTTTGAAAATCGATCAGATAACCCATCAAAGTCTTCATATCCTTTGCCACATTTTGTTCGGCCATTTCTTTTGGCAGTCGGCGTGGCAACATCGATCATTGTCGTTCAACTTTTTGTATTGTTAGCAGGTATTCGTCGAAACTTACTTCAGACTTTTCGTGGTGATTATTGTGAAATTCCACGACGACAACGTTCGTCCTATGTAGATTATGCTATGGGTAACTTCCACTTTGCCGGCTATCTCATTGGTTATGTTGTCTGGGGTCTGATTCTGATCGTTTTTTTTGTCTTTCTTTTCCTTATGGCCATTGATGCAATCATTACATTCAGTGCCTTTCATATAATCGAATCGATCCTCAAATTTCTCATTCCTATTCTTCTACTCTATTACTTCAAAGAATTTATCAACAAAATTCTCGCTCAATTTATGTTTCTACAGCATGGTGGTGATGTTCTTGCCGTGAACAATCGTCGTGTTTTGATGATTTTTCTTTATTTTAATTTTTTCCTGGATGCATTTCTCGGTCTAGTCTCATCGATTTTACGGTTGTTGCAAAGTTTCATCGGTGGAATCGTTTATATGTCCAGATTGGATTATTCACCTTTGGGTCGCAAACTAGAAACTTGGGATGGTGGATTCAGTGCCTATTGTGGGTTTATTCATACGGAATGTGCTCATCGGCATCCGGTTCTATTAGTATTTGCCGGACAGCTTTTGAGTTTGGAGAAGAACAGCGAAGATTCAATCTCATTGAGAACTGTCATGGCCAATGTGGAAGATTTGTCGATGATAGAGGAAGAAAATCGAAATACGAGAAAGGAAAATCGTCGTTGTCGATGGATTCGAAAATGGAAATTAGCTGCGTTTCTCGTACGAAACCCATCGATCGTGTTCTTTCGCAAAGCATATCTCAATCAATTTCATACGACTGATCTACTATTGATGTCTAGAAATATCGACCAGAAAATCCAAGCCGCGGTTATACGTCGTCGCATGTCCATTTAGAAAACTCGAATTGCTTGCGTTTCTGCTATCTTAGGCATACTTGTAGAGTAGGTACGGATGAAATGAGTATCTACATGTACATGCACACTTATCTACAAAGTCGCACTCTCAGAAGAAGAAGCCTAACTTATGTGGAATAATTTTTTGTGTTCATTTTTACTTCCATCGATCATTTTTTAGAGAAATTTCCTTCTTCTAATCATGTGACAATAAAATTCGGTGCATCACTATCACTGAGAAATACAAAACCGCGCTAACTAAGATTAAGGCTGATGTTTTACCAACATATAGTGGGCAGTCGAAAATTCAGTTACTGATCACAAATCGAAAGCACATATACAGGATTCTATGAAACAAACTACTTTCTTCACTTGACGAAGAAAGTTGATCACTTGTTAATGTTAATGCTGCTCCATCTGTGGATTACTGACCGAGCTAAGATGTGATAGAATTGACCATTTGAAAAATAAACCATTGCTGCTTTTGTCCATAAATTAATTTCGACTAACATCAACAGCACTATTGTAGAAGAATTCTCGGACTAAACGAATTCGAAATAGTCAATTGGTTTCAATATTTCATCAGTGAACTTACATTTGCGTTTCTTTTCAAACACTATTCGTCATGCGCATAAATTAGCAGAAAGTAAATCAGCTTGTCTAGGGTATGGCTACAGGTGACGAGTAAACCTAAACTTCCACTCTTCTGCTTATTAACACCATCTTGACCTTTCCGTCGCTATTTCTCAAGGCGTCGGAGTGTCTAAATCAATTTACGAAAGTTTTCTTACTCAATCAGAAGTATTTCGCACACAGCACGGCTCGAAGGAACTATTTTTTGTCCTTCCACAAGAAACTATAAAGATTTAATGTTAATAGCAATTCATACTACTATGCAGTATTATTGACGATAGAGTTTCAAAGAGAAAACTTTCGTGTTGAATTCCATTTTGTTATGAACGATTGGTTTTAGATGGAAAGAACTACTTCAGTGGTTCATAATCTCTCTAAAGCAATTTATAGAAATATTTTAATATTGCGTTCACAATGAATGTCATTAAATCAAAACATGTTCTGCTATTTTGATAGAAAAAGCTCTTTTTTCATTTCTCAGCCCAGAGCCGACTACGTTTAAAATTCAGTAGATGTCAGTTCACAGAACATTTCAGTGGCAGGTCTTCATTTGTTGGTATTACACGATTGTTGTTCCATTTTTCTCTTTGGCATTCACATATCAAAGCTTGAAAATTTGAGAAAGAATTGGTTAATATCGAACACCTCATTCACGACGCTAAAAAAATGCACTCGACGAACCATCAATTTATAAATATCAGTTGTTACAATCGTAAAGCTACATGTTCATTTACAAGTAACGAATCAAGACAACATGCCCGATTGGTCAATCATTCTATATGAGATTCAATATGATCAGTAGATTTGTCGTTAGATAGACGCAGAAAAAACAGATGACCGAATGTAAAAGTGACAGACCAGATATTTTCATGGATGGGAAGAGTAAGTTTTATAGATTTGATTTTATGAAAATGAATAGAAGTTAGCGACCAATCTGCGCCATGTGATCGGATTAATATATTACGTACAGAATCATACGAATAATAAAGTTAATCTCCAGTACACGTCACTATATTGAATTGGTTGAGAAACATGATGGTGCTATATTCGCTGTAAAACATGATGCGGTGATAATTGCGTTTGTTCCCAGTGAATATGATTGTCGTCACCAAACATTGAGCAAAAATCGTATAAATGATTGCATTTTTACGATCAATGGTAGTAGGCCGGTGGATAATGAAGATAAGATCGAACCTGCCAATAAACTACGCTGTCTCGAATATTGTATATGAATGCCTTGGATCTCGAAGAATCTTGGTAGACTCTAGTTTATTATAGTAGATTCTAAAGAGTCTTGTAATGCATTAGAATCCGCTTGTTACCCCGTGCTTCTGGCACACTTCGATAAATCTATTTCACAAGTCCTTATGACTCATGAAGAGCTATTAGGATCCATGACAAGGTAAGGATTCATTTGATTCTTTTAGAATCCACTAGTTTTGTTTAGGATTTGTTTATTGCCCTTTTTATACACTCACACTCCAAAGAAAAAAACTACAATCAAAGTGAACAAATAGTAGACATTGTTTCTTGTTGTTAACTTCGAGATGAACAATTCAAAGCCAGATAGGCTGTCTTAATCGAGGTGAATAGGGTTCCTTTTGACTGTCATCGCTTTTTCCTTTTGTTAACTCAAGCTTCGTTTTCTTCCCATGCATCCATACTAATCCTGGGTCAATAATGTATTCGTTTCGATAATACTATTTCTTAGTTAATTCTCCTTGATTTCGTTCAATTAGCTGTGTGCTTATTTCTGATGCATGGTAATTACTCTTTCATCACGCATGTTGATAGGTCCACTAAGTATGAAGAGGTTCTTGTTATCCTGATCTGAAGACATGTAGTTCAAGTAGTCAAACATCAAGAGGTTTGTATACGAAACCTCCATTATTGTGTTTCTCTCTTAGGTTTCTTTTTTAAAATTTCACCCATCCTTCTTTTCGAAAAGCTAGCCACACTGATGTGTCATTCATTTTCTTGACTGCCTACCATTCCTTAGCTTTTGTAACTTTTATTTTGCCTCATTTCTATTCGTCGCAATAGGTCTGTTTTTCTTTGCAATTTAGATGCCTCTGCTTTCTCTTCTCTATTCTATTCTATATTCACTACAACCATATCTAGTCTCACTCATTATTGACTTGGAGATAAGCAGGCCGTTGAGAAAAATCTTGTCATCTTCATGTGCAACGCAAGTTATTACTTATCTATTCTTATCACGCTGCATCTTTCTTCTTCACTTTCGCGTTAATGGATACTAGTTCGCTACCTACTGAAATGTCCCAAGAAGCTGCTATCGTATCAGAAACGAAAAAATTGCGAGAATTGTATCCAGAAGTAGAGCCATACACAACTGGCACGCTGAAAGTATCTGAAATTCATACTTTATATTACGAAGAAGTTGGAAATCCTTCGGGTAAACCAATTGTATTTGTACACGGAGGACCAGGTGGTGGCACGGATCCACGTGATCGACAATTTTTTGATCCACAAGCATATAGAATTGTACTATACCATCAACGTGGTGCTGGTAATTCAACACCAAGTGCTTCTTTAGAAGAAAACACAACGTGGGACTTAGTTGATGATTTAGAGAAATTACGAAAGCATTGTAATATTGATAAATGGATTTTATTTGGTGGTAGCTGGGGATCAACATTAGCTTTATCTTATGCTGAAACACATCCCGATCGTGTTAAGGCATTAATATTACGTGGCATATTTTGTTGTCGCCGTAAAGAATTATTGTGGTTTTACCAGGAAGGTGCTTCAATGATATTTCCTGATGCATGGGAAAAGTTTTTAGAACCGATACCAAAAGCTGAACATGGTGATTTAATGTCAGCATATCATCGTCGTTTAAATGGTAAAGACGAACAGGAAATGTTAAAAGCTGCTACTGCATGGTCCGTATGGGAATTAGCAACATCACGTTTATATGTTGACCCATCATATATAGCTCGCGCAACAGATGATGCAAAATTCGCTGTTGCTTTTGCTCGTATTGAAACGCATTATTTTGTTCATGGAGCATTTATGAAAGAAGATGACCAATTAATAAAAAATGCTGACAAAATAAAAGATATACCCGGTGTAATTGTTCAAGGTCGATATGATCTTGTTTGTCCAGCTCGTACAGCTTGGGACTTACATAAAGTATGGCCAAAAGGTGAATTGCATTGGGTTGATGATGCTGGCCATTCGACTAAAGAAGTTGGAATCGTTCATGAATTAATTACTGCAACAGACAAATTTAGAGAATTGTAAAGCATAATACATCATTTATAGTTGATTTTTCTTTTTTGATTGATTCACTTAGTAATTTTTTTTCTACTACCTATGAAAGTTTTTTTTACTTTTGTGTTACTATTTGATTAAGAAAACCTTGTTGCAGTGTGGAAGTATAGCTGATTTTGAGCTTTGTATAGAAGGTGTGCATCTGTGGGCATAGATCATCTCGTTACTCACCCGACACTCATAGTAGATGCATTGATACAATATCGATTTCAAACAAAGAGTGAAATTAATTGAACAAATGACTAATCGTTAGTAGAAACAATATGAAAACGTTAAATATTAAGTTTGGGTCCTCCCAATATGTAAGTGATCGATGGCTAGCCATGCCAGGATCAAGAATTCAGTAAAATAGTCAAGACTCAGCTTCAAAGTCTAATGAGATGAACCATTCCAATCTATATCTAATCTAATCAAGATTTTTTTATAGATCAATATGAGCTCACATAGTAAGTTATACGAATTGATAGTTTCCTCATAAGACCATGTAAGCTAATGCAGTTTTTTTCAATAAATACAAATATATTCATCTTTTCAGAATGAAGAAATTCATATAAGTAATGCTCACATAGTTCGCATAAGAACAACTCAAACTTCTGATAAGTTACAAATGTATACCATGAGCAGAGAGAAATATCAATCAGACCAAAAATATTCTAAAAGAATAATTTCCATGGCCTTTTCGTAGAAAAACTACCAACGTTTTATTGAGCTTTGGAAAAATACTTAGTTTTTTTTTTGAAAAGTTTATCTTGAAATTTTTCTCTTTATGTGAGATTAAAAATGCTTATAATCAACGAAAAAAAGCCACATCAGCTCAAATTTTCTTAGAAAAAGATCATATGTATGCACACAAAATATCAGCAAAAAAGGCGTAGATCAGTGAGCGCCTTTCCTCGTTAGTGCCATTCACCTCTACAAGCCAGCTGTAAAACTTGATTTTTAACCTATTTAGTACAGTAGACTGTGCTTTCGAATGATACTCAACTGTCTCATATGTAATGTATTATTCGGGTGATACTCCGCTTTCAGTTTGATAAAGCATATGATCTAAGAAAAACAACTGGAAATACTGTTGAAATTATTCATGAAAACTAAAAGCATCATATCAACCGATTAACACATTACATAGAAGATAGCTAAGTGTCATTCAACAACATTAAGTCTGATATACAACAAAATAGACTGAAACTCAAGTTTCGAAGTAGGCTTGTAAAGATGAATTCTACTAGAATAATATTACAGTCAAGTAGTAAAATTTGTGAAACTGTTGTCAAATCAGAGTAAAGGAAATATTTCAACAAAACTAATATATCGTTTTAGTGATTTTTCAATGATTTTACGAATGCTGTACTTCAAACTTGAGAAACAAAATTTTTCTATATTGACACGGTGATATTATGAATAAAATGCGATTAATGTTTTTTTAATTACAATTAATAATATTCAAAAAACTACTTTTTAATAAAATATAGCTCATAGAATCCTGCATGGAATATTATAGAAAGAGTTTTTAATAATTGTGTAGTGTCGCAAATTGAATAAATACTACAAGTACTCTAAATTTTTGTTCTCTGGAAAGAAATAATTTAGTTTGCATGATTAATAATCGTATAAGTTGTCTTACAGAATATTGACTACATAGACTTGTAGCTAGTTTCGAAAGCTATGGAAATTACCATTTATTTTTTCTCAACAAGATGTCCTTCATAAACGTAATCACGGAACAAAAGGCGTCCTAAACTTCAATCATGCTACTGTATGTCCATATTGATGAACAATTATTCGGAAAAAGTTTCTTAATAAAGATTGTAACTGTGCAATTGCAGATTAAATTGAGCGAAATGGAGATATGCCTATTATCAGATAGATTTCTAATGTTTGATCTTATATGTTTCGTATCTTCTGATTCTTGTAGGTCTTTTATTTTAGTCTTGCAATAAGAATTATTCGAAATCTTGTGATAATGTGGACGAGAGAAAATTGCTAACCGATTCATGCCATTTTCCACCATATTTGGTCCATATGTTGGGAACACTATGCTTATGAAAAGTCTCATATGGTTTGAACTGATCGAACTTCCTTTGAAGGTTATGATTATGTTACTGCTTGTTCTGCCTAGCACAAGATATATACAAAAAAAAATCAAACGATAGAATTTCAGATTGCAATTCTATGGTTCGATTTTTCTTTATGAATATTGTGTTAGATGAAAAATAATCAGTAATGTAGTCGCTACTTTTGGAAAAAGTTTCATCACTTCGAACTCTCTTTGGATTTTTCATACAATAATATCTCCAACATACGAACAAAATATCACTAAAAACCGCGTAGATCAGTTGGGAATTTATCTCATAAGAGAGAGAGGCTTAGTTCTTCCTTAAAACAATAATTAATTGTTTTATTCAATGTAGAACAGTCTAGCACGGAACTATTATCTCTCAACATACTAGTAGATGTCACTGATGTCAAAAATAAATGACGAGACATTGTTTTCAATTTTCTTTGGTCTCATTTGGAATAACCTATTATGTTTAGTTCTTTTTTGGCATCATCAGATGTATTAACATGTGATAATTTTCGTGTCCTAACAAACACATTTATTTGACAACAGATACCATATTTTCCTAAAACGTCTATAAAAAAAATTATCCATGAATTTTTGTCCTTTATTTTCTAAATTTTATTGTAGTGTAATCTACCATTTAATCATTTCTTCCTGATCAAGAGAATACATTTCACCATCTAACTGAAAATTCGACATGTAAGATAATATTTTAAAAGCAAATTTCACACTAAACATCAATATACAAAAAACCAGCAAGTTAAAAGCTGCTATAAGTACGAAAGAAAAAAACACTAGTTAATTGGAACGCACACAATTTCGTCACTAGAAATAATTTAATTATATTCTACGAAAACCTTAAGTTCTAAAAATCTAATCTGAAGACAAGAACAGCAACAGTGATGACTGTCAATCATATTCGATGCACTTTTTTTCTTCGTCAACAAGCAGTCGTGCATAGTAGTAATTTGAAGCCACTTTGAAACCGCAATCGTTCTTTCTCGCAAAGCATTTTCTTTTCTTTCCATTTGAAAAAAAAACCTGTTGTAATGTTGATAGTAGCTATTGTTTTCGAGGCACCACTCTTCTCATAATTGTCAAATCATATCAGAGTTTGTTTGCAAAAAAAAAACAGAACTTCATTTGTACTACTCCTACTTTACATGTAAAGAACGAACAGTAAGCATGCGATGTTTGAAATGAGAACAGAAAGAAAGATTTCATTGCACATATAAACTTTTTACAGAATCGAGAAAGTTCAAATTGGATGAATTTTTTTTAAATCGTAGTCAAGCATGAACATTATCAACGGAAAACCGTTGTACTTATTTATCATTCGGTTCTCTTTTACCTTTTATACTGTTTTCTTTCTTTTTCTTTTTTATTGCCAACATCATCATCATCATCATTTGATGGTCTAATCATCTTTTATATCAAACTATGGATTTTGAAAAGTTTCGTCGCACAGGTGAATTATCTGACATTACAGTCATAGTAGACAAAGCTGAATTTAAACTTCATAAATTTCCATTATTTACAAAAAGTAATTATTTCAAAAAAGCGATTGCATCAACATCAGCACCATATATCATTCGACTTGATAATAATTTTCCAGGTGGTGCAGAAGTTTTTAATCAACTTGCAGATTATTTTTATTCAATTCCAATAGCTATTGATCGTAAAAATATCGTACCACTTCGTTCAGCCGCATGTTTTATTGAATGTGATACATTAAGTACACTGCTTGATAAACATTTTGATGAAATAATTTTAGACGCACGAACAAAATATGATTTGACGATTCCTTTATTATTACTTGAACAATGTACAGGTGAATATCAAATATGGGCTAAACAAACACATATGATTGATAAATGTCTTGAATGTATTATTGAATTATTAAATTTTGATGTCGGTTTACAAATGAATAAATCTGATCGAGAAATTATCGTTCGTCTACCACTTGAATGGATTGTTGAATTAATCAAATTATGTCCTACAGAAAGTAAACGATGTATTCTTCCTCTTGTTAAACATTATGTAACAATGCATGTACTTGAACAAAATCAATTGCAACAAATTACAAGTTTATCATCCCGAAAAAGTGAAGGAGAACATTATAGTGCTTTTACACCTGTTACAAAAATAGAAGATATACCAGTAACAACTGCTGATGAAAAACGAACAATAATCGACGAAGTTGTTAGACTATTAGGCGATGCTCTCAAACAACTCTCACTCGTTTGGCTTAATTCAATTTATGAAAAAGCGGTAGAATTAAAATGTCAAAGTGAACCAACATTATTGTCCTATATCACACAAGCAATGCTCGATTCAACTGATCAAGATGATGGTATAGAAAATATTCCTGATGATGTTATGACAAGATTATTAGAACATGTGAACAAACATAAAGAAGATCATATTAATGATCCACATCTATTAGCAAAAGTAATTGATTTTTTTATTGAAAATATGAGAAATTTTTCAATACCTTTATTTTCTAGTTATCAACATTGATTGATTCGTATGTTGAACAACTTCGTCAACGAGGTACACTTACCAGTGAACAATTCGTTAAATTAGCTTCATGTATACCAAAAGAACAACGTAATTCATATGATAGTCTTTTACTCGCACTTGATGATCTTCTTAAAAATGGTTTGTGACAAATTTTTTTGTTCTATCAAAATAATATTTTAATGTATATTAATATAGAAAAATCAATACAATTAAGTAATGCAGAACGAGATGAATTACTTAGTCAAGTTGATTTTTCACGTGTTAATGAAGAAACAATTGTAGCATGTAAAAATAATAAACTTATTCCACAACAATTAATTACTGATGCAGCATTGGCTTTATGTGTTAAACTAAGAAAACAATTAGAACAAACTCGAAATCGTTTACATATAGTTGAAAGTGAATTAGCCAAATCTCGAATGACTTACACCAGTAGTTCTAGTAAAGCATATTATTATTTTTTGGTATTTTAATGATTTTCTTTTTTAATATTCTAATTAGAATTTCGATCACGTAATTTGAATTCATCATTTCGTCTTCCATCTCGATTTCGTACTACTTATACAAATACTTATGATTTACCCGACAGTAGTTTAACATATAGTTATTCAAAATATAATCATGAAGGTGATTTTGATTATGCATTACCTTCGAGATATCTTTCATCATCATCAAGTAGTCGATATGGTTCTTATTATACTTATCGTTATTAAAGACAAATAAATTATTTCTTCTTTTTCTTTGTGCTTAGAATGACTAGATAAATGAAAAGCTTGATATTTAACCAAACACTTTCTTTTTTGTTTAGTATGAATAAAATTTATTTTTCTGCTATTTTTTGTCAATATGAACTGATAACAGTGTATTCCATTATGAATTCATAATTTTTCTTAAAAGTAAATTTGATGGCAAAAAAAAAATCAAGTATAAAAATCGAAGTAGAATTGCATAATCAGTTTTTCTTTATCTATTGTTTCATGTGATTCTTCTCATTTTAATTGATAAAAGTAAAACAATATTTTCTTTCGATTACATTGTACACTTGCATTCTAAGCCATCGGCATAAAAGAGATCGAATGTTTGTTTTCATCATTCATTTGATTACTTTTCTATCAAGCAACATGAGCTTATCTTCATTTGGCTTTATTTTAATTTTATTACTTGTTCTCTCAACCGAACTGTCGCAAGCACAGTTCTGGGGTACATCAACAGGTTTGATATTGAAAGTTTTTGTTTATGTAAAGAAAAACTATAAGAAAATCAATATATTTGTTTTAGGTCGATGTTGGGGACGATTTGAACAATATCATGAATGTGCTTCAACATGTCCTGATACGTGTGATGATATTCGATGGCCCAACCCTGCTAAAATATGCAACTTGATGTGCAGAAATGGATGTGATTGTATCCGACCTTTTGTGCGCTTAAATAAAAATCCCATGAGTCCATGTGTTCATCCACGTCAATGTAGATTTATGTAACTTGAATTTCTTATTGATGATGGATTTATTTAATAAAAGATTTTTCTGTATAATAAAAAAGCATGGAACCATCTTGTTATGAATAAGACTTTCAAATGTAATATACATTCTTATTTCTTCATTAATCATCATTTCAGTTGTAGATATGGTGGAAGTTTTACATGTTGTAATCATCTTTGTGTTTATTGCTTTGGTTTTTAATTTGATCATATAAAATCAAAGAAAGTTTCAAACAATTAAAAAACAAACTACAAAATAATTAATGGATCTCTGTGCAGATCTTAATTCATAATGTACCTTGTTACATTTCTTTTAGGTAATACAAGCTATCGATGCAGTAGAATTTTGCAACATACACCTTGTGGGATTCATAGTATATTCGAATATTTATGAAGATATTCTCAATATACATTCTAAGAAGATATGTATATTTCAATGTATAGCAGGTTGTTTTTGTCCTTGAACTTCTGTATATAATAATGGATTAACATGAATTTTTCCTTTCTTAACGTTGAAAAATATCCTTGCTTTTCATTCTAACATCTTTCTTCATTATAGAGCGTAAAAATTCGTAGATTATATGTCAATCATGAGGCATTCACTTTATTTGAAACATTAAATTATAATTTTAGAGAGTTAATCAATACTTTTCATATTGTCAATATAAAACAAGTACTGGACCATTTTGAAGAGAAATTACCTTTTCTATCTATGTCCCATGTGATGGAGTCAATTAAATAAAATGAAATTTATCTGCAAAAATACTTCAAGTATAATGCTAATCACATTCTTGTCTAGTTTAAGCCTGTATTATTCGTATGTCTTAGATAAGTAAATTTTATGATAATGAATTATTTGCTTTGTATACTTTCATATTTGAATAGGCTTACTATATCTTATAGTATGAATAGCTTTTTTATACGATGTCAATACTACACTGCCAAAAAAAGCAGCCTCTAATCCTATTTTCTTTTCGGTTTTTATCTTCAACTCAATAATATGCACCTTGTAAACCTCAGTATATATATACATACAGTCATCCGTTATAATATTAAGGTATATTCACAAGCGTCTCTCTAAATTGATCGCCGTTTCATTTTCAAATATGGTTGGATTCTTACGGGATACAATCATTATTGCAGTTTTTGTGTTGATTTTTACACTGACTATACAGGCTCGAGGTATGTTAGACCTGTCTCACAGAATAGAAGACTAGTGATTGATAAGATTTTATTATCTATTTTTAGTTGATCCATCCAAATTATGTTCGGAACCTAATGAAATATACGAATCATGTGGTACTGCATGTCCCATTACCTGTGAAGATGTTATCAATTCGAACCTTAATAAACCGTGCACACTTGAATGTGTCAGTGGTTGTTTCTGCCAAGAAGGCTATGTACGTGAAAATAATGAACCAAGAAGCCGTTGCGTCAAAGCAGAAGACTGTATTTCGATTATTTAATTACTAAAACTCTTTGATCTCTTGAAATATCAGCTTAATTGTTATCGCTATTAACTGTACTCTGTTTATGAATAAATCATAAGAGAACATTTGCAAATTTTAATTTGTCATTCGATAAGTGAAAATCACAGACGTTCTTTGTATTGTTGCTCTCTTCATATTCTGGACAAAGAAGATGTTCATACTAATTTTTGTTATAAAATTTGAGCATAAATATGAGCTATCAATGTAAAATGTGATACAAAGCAATTGATAAAATCAGAGTGTGGGTGTGAGTGTGGATCTATCAGTACTCATCACCTCCACTCATACCCCTCGCGTTTGATCTTATAAGGACAGTTCGATCAAATTTGATTCGAATAGTGGCACACCCACATTCCTAATTCTATTTCACGTTAATCTCTACAGCAGATGAGGGTGAAGCCAAAAACTCAATACAGTATTATTAAAAACCATCTTGATACCACTTTAAGTTTTTCATACTCTTAAACTATCAAAAGATTTCCAATTTAAAAACAAAGACTGTTTGATATTTAAATATGAAAAAAAAATTATGTGTAGCAAGCTGCTAAAACTTCCTGAGCAATGAATAGTCCTTGAGAAAGGTTGAAACTTAGTCGTATTGTTCTTGAACATAATATTCACGTTGTAGTAACTTCTACTCACTCTCAGTCTCGCGGCACCTCAGATACATTGGCCTTTGACTAGAGAGACTTTTTTTTACTAAATGCCAACATTGTTAGTCGTGATTAAACTGGGAGTGTTTAATATGATGTATGAAGACTAAGCACGTACAACTATTTATGGTTTCTGCTTATTTCTATTGATAGAATATCTAATAACATTAAATACTACAAGCAAACACTATGTCACGTTTAGTAACGTCTATTAACGTATCAAAAAAATCTCTCATTATTGATACATGTTGGCTATGAAGTGTTATTCGAAGTATAGTTAATTGATCTTTGTTATAATGCATGCATACTTTAATAGTCTCTTGATTTTAATTTTATCATTGTCTACAATTAAAACAGAGTATCATCTGTACATTACGCATCCAGTAAGTGGATTAGCTTTGTACTACCATTGCTTGTACTATAAAGTGTTGGATAACATTGTTGAGTATCTTAGAACAGATAAAAACTTCCGAAATCCTTATCAATTCATTCCATACTGTATACGACCATTTGCAGAGAAAAAAGAAGAACTGAACGGAAGTATTTCGTCACAGATCACATTCCAAGAACTGAAACAAGAAAAAGTGAATGCGCAGGATTTACTGTCATGGTCTGCTCCAATTGATCTTGTGGAAAGCTATCAAAATTATCTGATTTCTCCAAATCTTTCTTCAAAAAATGAGCAATTCTTCAACTGTTCGCCATTATGGTTTGGACCTTTTTGTCAATACACGTTCAAGTCGAGTCAACCGTTCAGTAACATCGTGTATCAGACTTTTGCTGATAAGTTCATAGACGATATGAATAGTTTAGATCACACCAATCTAAGCTGTTATATGCATTTAAAATGCAATCGTGGACCATCTCCTTTGTGTCTCGATTGGCGTGAAATATGTGATGGACGAATAGATTGTTTTGAAGATGGAATTGATGAGGTAAATTGTATTGAATTGGAAATGAACGAATGTGAGAAAAACGAATATCGATGTCAAAATGGAATGTGTGTACCTGAACAATTCTTAAATGATAGTCCTCAAAATCCAGATTGCTTAGATAGTACTGATGAGAAAGATGAAGAGTTGGTTACTGGCAACGATGTTGCCGCTGATGATTGTGCAAAAGATCCAGCGTTTCGATGTGAAGAATCACATCATTCCCATATTCTTCGAAATTTTGTATGCGGTGACGGGCAAGAGACGCATTTCAGATTGTATGAAAGCCCACATATACCCGACACTACCTTAGAAGAAGGTTTCTGTATGAATGGACGTGATCAAATGCTTTTTTACTCCGTAGTATTGAATACAGAATATCCTAATTTTTCCTCACTTTGTTGGCTATTATTAATCTCTTTGATGTTTGGTAGATGGCATACGCATGAAGTGTTATGTAATAATCAATTATTTCTGTCTATTCAAAGCAAGTGTAATCATTCAAGTTACGTTATTCTTCCTGTGTTGCCCATTCTTCAAGATGATGTGCAATTCGGATATTGGACAAATAGAACAGTGAATTGTTTTTCCTTTCCTCAGAGACAACTTCCGGATTTTGTTTGCTACAACATGCAACGTTGTCCTTTGTCTACATCGACCTTGATGATCAATAATTTCACATGTATAGACTTAAAAAACATGGAAATTCATAGATTTGATCAATTAATGCGACTTTTTCGAACATGTCTTTTCGTCGATGTAAGCGGTAATGAAACTCATTGTCGACATTCGTCTTTATTTCATTGTCCAGGCACATCTAAATGTATATCGAAATATCGATTACTTGATGGAATTGATGATTGTTATGGAGGTGCTGATGAAAAATATGAAGATTCATGTAACTTAAATCAAACTCATCGTTTTCGATGTACATCAGAAAATAAATGTATATCACCGATCCTTGTGCGAGACGGAATCAAACATTGTAAACACGGTGAAGACGAAATTCTTTCTTCGAGGAAAAAAATTTCTTTTCAAAATCTTTGTAATGGATATGTTCATCTATTACCTGAATTAGGAGATGAACAGAATGAAACAGATGAAACGAATTGTGAACAGTGGCCATGCAACAATCAATATACACGATGTGATGGTGCATGGACTTGCAAAAATGGTACCGATGAACTCAATTGTAATCAGTTCTCTAAATGTTATCCTAATCATCATGAATGCGTATCTCCTACGACACTTAAAGTGATATGTTTACCAGTCGATGAAGCTGGAGATGGAAAGATTGATTGTTTCGGAGCAACTGATGAAAGAGAACATTGTCGACAAATGCAATCACATGATTTCGCCCCCTATCGATGCTGGAATGATACGCTTTGTGTCATGGGAGAATGTTTTGGCAATCTTGCTTGTCCAAATGAAGGAAATCCGTCTACTTTTTCAGCATGTACTAAAGATCCAGAAATTGAGACTGTTCTTACTAATTTAATGGCAGACAAGATTCTGAAAGGTATTTCGCTCCCTAATAGTGATTATTTTTTGGATTATAAGTATTTTTCGCTTCATGTCTCGAATAATTTGCTATTCGATACGAGACGTAGTTATTTAGAAATAATGAACGAATCGTTTTCTATCGCAATGATCCATACTCACAATAGTGAAGTTTATTCTTTACCCACATTTAATGAAAATGTAATATCATCTGAAGAGACTAGATTTCGTCGAGCTTGGATTTGCAATCGAGGCATATTGATATACATTGGAATCGAGAACATAGAACGTTGTCTTTGTCCTCCAAGCTACTATGGGTATCGATGTCAGTATCAAAGCCAACGAGTTAGTTTAACTCTTCAATTTACTAAAGAATGTGCGCCAAACTGTCATGGAATATACATTGTTGTAGTAATCTTAATAGATAATCATCAAGTGATTCACTCATATGAACAATTAACATACATCTCGACCGTGAATTGTGATATGAAATATAATCTCTATTTTTTGTATGGATCTCGTCTGAAAGATGAAAGAAAAAATTATACAATTCGCATAGATGCTTACAATAAAACTGACCTTACTTATTATTCAAGTTGGACATTACCCATCAAATTTCTCTTTCTTCCTGTCAATCGAATTGCTGCTCATCTGGTGATTCCAGCTCATCAAGTCGACATCGTCAATAACTGTCAACTTAGTTGTGGTGATCATGGTTATTGTACTAGATACATGAATAATGATGAGAAATACTGTCATTGCGATTCAGGTTGGTCAGGAGTAAATTGTACAATACGTGAAGATAAATGTGATTGTTCATTGGATTCTCTCTGTCTTGGAACTGTGAACAATCGATCTATTTGTATATGTCCATTTAATAAAATTGGTCCCCGATGTTTTCTACATTCTGTCTGCCAACGCAATACTTGCAAGAATAGTGGTTACTGTGTAGTTGAAAATGATCGAACATCAATGAATAACTTCACGTGTATTTGTTCCACAGGATATTCTGGAAGAACATGTGAAGTAAGAGATTCACGAATTGATATTTCGTTTCACAACATAAAAATTCCTCAGTTTGTACTGATTCATTTGATCACTGTACAAACATATGATGATCCCCTGATTACTACAATAGTGAGAAAAATTGGTTTCGATGAAGACACAATGACACTGTATACATCAACTCTGTTTAACCTTATTTTTTTTCAAATTGAGAATGAATATTATCTTTCTTTTATTCAAATCAATGCCACATACGTAACTCATCTTAAACTCCAAATCATATCTTCACAACGGTGCTTTCCTCTGTACAAGCTACTCGATCAACGAACGATGACCTTTCCTTTGCTACGTCGAGTTAAATACTATCATATACCGTGTAGAGAACGATCTGAACTAAACTGTTTGTATGATAATGAAGAATTTATGTGTTTATGCAACAAAGATCGATTTGCAAACTGTTTTCATTTTAATTTCGGAAAAAAATCTAATTGTTCACAACGAACAGAATGTGAAAATGGAGGCCAATGTGTTCAAGATCATTCTATTTGTCCATCTACAACAATGTGCATATGTCCCGAATGTTACTATGGTGGAAAGTGTCAATTCACAACAAAAGGTTTTAGTCTTTCACTAGATGTTATTCTTGCTTATCAAATTCGTCCGCATATATATATTAGTCGTCAACGAGTTATTATAAATATGAGCATTGCTATCATTTCAGTGATATTAGTCATAAATTTGATCAGTAATGTATTGTCTTTAATGACCTTTTGGTCAAAAAACCTTCGTGCAGTTGGTTGTGGACTCTATCTTTTTATCTTATCGTCACTTTCCATTCTTTCGGTCATTATTCTCACTCTGAAATTATGGATATTGATTTTATCACAAATGTCATTGATCGCAAATCGTACTATTCTTTGGATAAATTGTATTTCAATGGAATTTCTACTTCAATCATTGCTTGCTATTAGAGATTGGCTCACTGCATGTGTTGCCATTGAGAGAGTATTTATCATAACAAAAGGTGTTAATTTCAGTAAAAAGAAAAGTAAACAAACTGCACAATGGATCGTTATTACTGTAGTGATATTTACCATGATTAGTCGTATCTATGATCCAATACATCGAAAATTGATCGATGACAAAGAAGAACAACGTACTTGGTGTGTTGTGCGATATTCACCATTAATGAGAATCTTTGATTCAGCTGTACATATTTTTCATTTTATTATTCCATCTTCGATAAATTTGCTCTCAGCAATAATGATCATTGTCAGTGTTGCTCGAACCCATTCAAATGCTCGTAGGCAACAAACATACAGACAAAATTTGAAAAAACAGCTTCATCATCAAAAACATTTAATTATTAGTCCTATTATAAATGTTATTTTATCGATACCACGTTTGATTATTTCATTTCTATCTGGATGCATGAAATCGAATCGAGACCCACAATTATTTCTATTTGGTTATTTTATTTCATTTTTACCACTTTCACTAACATTAATTGTGTTCATTTTACCATCCGAACCCTACAAAAAACAATTTGATATCGTAATTAAACAAAAGAAACAATTTATACGAAGATGTTGGCATTTAAGCTAATTTCTAATTAGTTCTATTATGCATCCGGGTCTATATAACAGTCGACCTGTTGAAGATGTTGTTGTAAGTACGGAACCAAATCTTTAGCTCCATTGGATATAGAGATATTTTCAAAAAAAACTTCGGCACCTTTTTCTACTGATATCATCTTTTATGCATGTTCTCTTCGAACTGTTTCATATGATGATGAATAGTCCATGCGGAGTACAAGACGATGCCATATTTAGATAAAATAATTAAAAATCAAACATCTTCTTGTCTTGAACATAGCAAAATTATTTGTAATAGAAATTCAACATTTTTAACTTGTTCATCTAAAACTGTTGAAATTTACCAATTTTTTTCGGAATGTCTTTTCTCAAATATACACATAACAAAGGCCACTAAAGTCGCATCTCAATGTCTTTCTTACTTGATAAAAATACATGTCAATTGTTCATTGGGGTCTTTTGAATAAGAACGATTTATTTTTATCTTTCAATAGCGCAAAATTGATATATGTTCAAGGTGTGAGTGTGAGTGGGTGTGAGTGACTGTGAATATGGATATGGGATGTGGATGTAGGGTGTAGGTGTGAGTGTGCATCTGTGCGTGTGGTGTGGGTTTGAGAATAGGTATTATCTTCACTCACACCTACACTCTCACCCATGATTAACTTTATTAATTGATTCATGATGTTCACTTTCACTAATGATTTCTCTTAATTCTAATGGATACGTAATATCAAATTTCGATTCGAGCCATACATCTGAAATTCAAAGAATAAAGATTATATCAAATTCGAGAATTATTGCTTGCCCTCAATCATTCGTACATATTATATTGTGCTTGGATCTACAGCAGCTATATCATTTTGGGTGTGGGTGCGATGTGAGTTCAAAGAGCATCGACACCCACAGCAACCCCACATCTACATCCTACGTGTCCACATCCGCACCCCCCCCCCCCCCCCCCCATCCACACCACACCCACACCCCACACCCTAATAAAAGAAACGTTAAAAAACACCTAACGATGCAACAAAAATGAGTCAGCACTTGTCTGAAGGAAAAAGAGAAAATTCCAACATAAATTTTCGAATGCAATGCATAAGTATTTACGTCATTCAATGAAAGTGTCAATCAGCTTTTCTTCCAACTTCTTCTAGTTGGACTTTATTTTTGCAAATTCAGACGAACAATTATTCCTAACATTACCAAAATCTTCAACGATGAATCCCTACCAAATACTAAATATCAGTGCGGAGTCAACTCCTGAACAAGTGAAAACGGCTTTTAGAATGAGGATACGTACATCAAATAGACACGGAAGAGCCATGTGTGCATTAGCCTACGACATGATATGCTCAAGAGATCCAAGAAAATACACGAAATATGGTGGTACATTTGTTGTTAACAAACAGAATCATTTTTATTACGCCATCACAGGAAACTACGAATCATTTGTGCAAGAAATGAGAAGAAAACCTTATTTACTCAACGAAAGAGATGAATACGGAAGAACATTACTTTATTTGGCAGCAAGAAATGGTTACTACGATATTTGTAATTTTCTTCTAAGAGCCGGATGTAAAATTGATGAAACTCAAAAGGACGGAAGTACTGCTCTGCATGGAGCATCTTTTTATGGACATGAGACAATCGTTCAACTATTACTTGAATATGAAGCAGATCCGAACGTAATCAATAGATTTGGACATCGACCTTATGATGAAGCCAGTAGTAGAATAATCAATGATTACATCTCATCGAAAACCCACGATAAAATAAATGAATTATTGAATCGTTTGAAACACGATGGACTAGCTAAAAATTTTGTTCTTTTAAAACATCATGATCGAATTATTGCTAAAAAAATATTGAGAAATATAGAATCCCACGCCGAATATCCAGCATCATATTATACTAAAAAATGGACATTAGCTTGGCATGGTACAAAATATCAACATTTATATTCGATTATGAAATATGGATTACATCGGGCCGGTGCTCTTGTCTCGCCTGGATATCGAATAGCTCCGGAAAAAGGTCATATTGGTTTGAATATCAGAGTTGGCGGATTCGATAATTGGGCTAATGCTATATTTGTTTCACCAAGTGTATTTTATGCAGCACATAAAGTCTATGCTGAGAGAATATTTTCTGGTGGAAAACAATGGTGTGTTCTAGTTGAAACAAGAGTGAGACCAGACTCATTTAGTCAGCACAAGCACACTCTATTGAAAAAAGATGAACTTCCAGGTGAACCAAAGAATGTTGAATATAGAGTAGCCGTGAAAAGTGACGATGATCTCATTTTACGAGTAGAATCAGAGAGAAATGTTTTAGTTACTGCTGTGGTATTTATAAATGTAGAATTTCTCGAAAGTATTGATGAATATTGTGAAGGACAAGTATTCGCTAATTCTGAAGCTGAACGAGCTCTGTTTCAATGATTATTACTTTTTTTTAATGTAGCTATCTGT